GAATGAAAAAATTTTCATCCTAAAATCTCGAACTACGTTGGGCCTGAATTCTCCCCGTGATATACGTAGGCAGCCTTCCCCTATTACAGAAAATTTTCATTCTCCCCCGTGTTTCGGAGATACGAAGATAAGATCAACGGACATTGAAAAGCAGCTGCAAGAAGAACATAGCTCAACGTGATTCAGCTTTCTCGAGATGACGTCAAAACAAACAAATTCCAGTTTGTTCAAAATATGTTTCCGTCCTCATTCGTGGGTTAAGATATCCTTAAACAAAGCGACTTGTATGTTATCTGTTTTATGTGGGATATTATGCATTTTATACTCCGGATATGCACTAACAAATTTGCCTTTGAGTTGTTTTTACCTCTCAGGTACCTCTTACTGATCGGTGTCGATAAAGCTGGCAGATCAACCCTACTTCACCAAATCAAAAGGTCCCACAGATTCCTTCCCCGGACCAAACGCAAATACAGACATGGGAGACAACAATGAACAAGTGAGCCTCACAAATGTCGTGGTGGCTCAGCCCACCGTGGCAGAACAGAATGAGCTTATTGCGCAGCTGATGCAGCAAATAGCTGACATGAGGGTAGAGATGCAATGGAGGCAAGACACTCCTCCGCCCGGATTCGGCCCCAACTTTCTCGACGCAAGACCTCCTACATATTTCCCCTCGTCCAACTCGGATCCTACTCAGCACCGTCCATCGACACCCGTGCACAACCCGTTCGGGATAGATATGACCACCCAAAACCCTCAATACGCCTCAGTCTCCTATCAAACTCCCTCACCACTCCCAAACAATCCCCTACAAATGCCACCACATCCCCAAAATACTCAAACAACCCCACTACCCCAAAATCAAATCCAAAAATCCCACCGCCCTCAATTCCCAAACACCGCATCCCCACTTAAACCAAAATACCAATCCCCAAAATTATCTGCAAAACTATCAAACCGCACAGAACATCCCAAGCCCTTCCATTGCTCCACCCTTCCCCAAAAGAACCACTTTCCTAGTCCCTGTCCCGGCCGAGCATGAGGTGCACGACTCCGAGTTGGACCATTATGAGGAGCAAGAAAGAGAGTGGAGGGCGAGGGAAGAAGCGAAGGTAGACATAAAAGAGGAGATCAAGAGGGCAATGAGAGAATTGCAATGTACTCCAGACATCGCCGGGTTAAGCTACGCAGAACTATGCATCCACCCAGACTTGAACTTGCCTGAAGGGTTCAAGATCCCGAAGTTTGATACCTTCGGAGGGGTGGGCAACCCCATGGCACACCTCAGAGCGTACTGTGACCAACTCGTGGGAGTTGGCAAAGATGAAGCCTTGCTGATGAGGTTATTCAGCCGGAGCCTGTGCGGTGAGGCCCTAGAGTGGTTCACGTCACATAAGACTCGACAGTTGCCCAGTTGGAGTGCACTGGCTAAGGATTTCATCGACAGATTCACATATAACGTCGAGATAGTTCCTGATCGGTACTCCTTGGAGAAGATGAAGTAGAAGCCCACAGAAAGCTATCGAGAGTTCGCATACAGATGGAGGAAGGAGGCAGCGAGGGTGAGGCCTCCGATGACGGAAAAGGAGATTGTAGAGGTGTTCATACGGGTGCAGGAGCCCGATTATTATGACAGAGTCATCTTATTAATCGGCGCCAAGTTGGCCGAGATAGTCAAAGTAGGTGAGACTATCGAAGATGGCCTGAAGTCGGGAAAGATAGCCCGAGTGTCTGCATCGCCTGGGTCTTTCGAAATGGTAAGGAAGAAAAGAGAGGAGGTTAACGCTGTCTCACACGGGGTAAGAAAGGCCCCCAGAAAGTTACCACGTCCCCAAGGCCGCTCCAATCCTCCATCAAAGCCTCATCAAGACTACCGTCCACACTCAAATCATTCCGGCTACTACAATGCCGACCCCACTTATCCAGAGGCCCATATTGTGTCGTATCAGAATCCACCCCCGATTCCCAAAAACTTTCCCTCCATATATCCAAACTACCCCCAAGCTTATCAAGTCCCTCCCCATTACCAGAATGTCGCTCCCAGCTGCGCTAATGTACAACCAAGTTCTCGAGCACCGTCCCCCGCATATCAAATACAAACCCCAGCATATCAAAGCCCCCATCCAAATTACCAAGCTCCAATGCCAAACTACCAAACAAATCCCTACCCCAGAACCCAAGCTCCACGACCAAACGCCCGCAATTACCAACAAGTCCCTCCCCCTCAACAGGGCGGGTATGATCCACCTCGCCCCAGGTTTGAGAAGAAGCCCTCCAGAAGGTTCACCGCGTTGGCTGAAAGCAGAACTAAATTGTTCGAAAGATTAGCCGCGGCCGGATACATCCACCATGTGGGGCCCAAGCCCGTGGATGTCAATTCCAGATTCTACAGACCGGAGCAGAGATGTGCTTATCATTCCAACAGTGTTGGACATGATACAGAAGACTGTATCAATCTGAAGCACAAGATCCAGGACTTGATTGACCAGGAAGTGGTCTCCCTTCAGCCTGCGGCGCCAAACGTCAACACAAATCCGTTGCCAAATCATGAGGGTGGAAACATCAACATGATAGAAACTGATGAAGATGAGCGTGAAGCCAAGAGAATTACTCTTGTTGTTCAGGAAGACTTGGAAAAGGCTGTCGCTTCTTTGAGCGTCAGGGAAAAGGAAGAGTTTGTCATTCTGACACCTGCAAAGGCTGTTGCCTTGGTGCCTGCAAAGACTCTCGCCAAGCCCAAGTTTGTTATAGAAACGGCCATGGCTAAAGGCATGACCAGATCTGGCAGATGTTACACTCCTGACGAGCTTGCTCTCGGAGGACAAAAGAAGGATCATGCCAAGAGACCGATCAGCGAAGCAGAAGCTGAGGAGTTCTGGAGGAGAATGCAGCCCAAAGACTACTCCATTGTCAAGCACTTGGAGAAGACTCCAGCCCATATTTCCGTGTGGGCCCTATTTATGAGCTCCTGTACACACAGACAGGCTTTGATGAAAGCCTTGGATGACACATATGTGCCCTCAGGTACGAGCAGCGACAATGTAGCTGCTATGATTCACCGAGTCATTCAGGGACATCGCATCACCTTCTGCGATGATGAATTGCCGGCCGAAGGGAGGGCCCACAACAAAGCTCTGCACATCACCGTGGTATGTCGCGGAAAGATCGTCAACCGGGTTTTGGTAGACGACGGATCTGGCCTGAACATATGCCCCTTGTCCACACTGAAGCAGCTGAGGTTTGACCTCGGAAAGTTGGAGCAAAACCAGGTCAATGTGAGAGCATTCGATGGTGTGCAGAGAGAGACGTTAGGAGCGGTGAATTTGACCATCCAAATAGGCCCCGCGGAGTTTGAGGCAAAGTTCCAGGTGTTGGATATCGACACCAGCTATAACCTCCTTTTGGGTAGGCCATTCATTCACATGGCTGGAGCCGTCCCCTCCACTCTCCACCAAACGATGAAACTGGTGTGGAAAAATGAAGAGCTGGTTATTCAGGGCGAAAAGGGCCACTCAGGCAAGCAGATGCCGGTCTTGGACGAGACGCCGCAAAGCTCGAATTTTTACACGGTGGAGTTGGTAAATGCCACCGATGAGGGCTTTTCCCCACAGACTCCCATGCCGGCCGTGTACAAAATGATCGCCACGGTGATGGTGCAAAGCGGATTCGAACCAGGTTTTGGATTAGGAAGGAATGCACTAGGGATCATCGAGCCAGTTCTGGTCCTTGCTACAGGATCAAATTATGGTTTGGGGTACATCCCCACAGATGATGATGTGAAGATGAAGAGGAAAAAGGATCAAGGGTTGACTAAGCCGATCCCGCATCTCTATCAATCCTTTCCAGTCCGGGAGCATGCCGAGCCTGAAGACGATGGGGAAGGAATCTGTGACCTTTTCAAGGAGATTAACGCCATTATCGAGGAGGAGGTCAACCCAGCTGGCATTCGCGATGCGGAACCAGGGGAGATGCTGCAGAATTGGACCTCTACGCCAATCCTGATGTCCCGGACTCTTGGGTAGAAAGGAATTATTTCATGCATAGTAAAATTGGTGGTCGTCCGGAAGAGGCCTGAGACCCATCATTTCTGCATTGTTCTTGATTTTGAATTTTGTTGTGATGTTTGAAAAAGCGACATGGCCCTGCGCCATGACCCAAGTTCGCATTTTGCTTGATTTAAATGAAAGCCTCCTTATTTTGACTTTGTTTATTAAATTGCTTGTTATATTTTACTTTTTTAATTCTGTCTGTTTATGATTTCAGTAACGTAAGTTACAAACCTGCCAATGTCATATCATGTCATGAGCTAAACGAGCAAAATAAGGCAAATGACGATGAGGTTGACGACTACGAAGAAAGTGGGGAACCAGACTATGTTGCAGAAGAATTTCGACAGTTCGAGAATCTACATAAAACCGAATCTGGAGGAGACGGAAACGGTGAATTTGGGAGATTCAAAATGTGTCAAAGAGGTTAAGATCAGCACCCACCTGAATGAGACTCAGAAGGAGAGCCTGGTTTGTCTGCTTGTCGAATACAGGGATATGTTCGTTTGGGAAGTCGTTGACATGCAAGGGTTGAGTACCGATGTCGTATCTCATAAGCTGCCTATCAACCCAGGGTTCGAACCGGTGAAACAAAAGACTCAGAAATTCAAGCCTGAATTGAGTTTGAAGATTAAGGAGGAAATCACCAAGCAGAAAGAATCCCGATTGGTGGAAGTAACGCAATACCCAACCTGGTTGGCCAATGTCGCTCCGGTCGCCAAGAAGGATGAAAAATCAGGATTTGTGTCGACTACAGAGATCTCAACAAGGCTAGTCCAAAGGATAATTTTCCGTTGCCAAATATCCATATCCTGATTGACAACTGTGCCAAACACGAGATGCAATCATTTGTGGATTGTTACGCGGGTTATCACCAAATTTTGATGGATGAAGAAGACGCGGAAAAAACGGCCTTCATCACACCTTGAAGGGGTATATGACTACAGGGTAATGCCGTTCGGCCTCAAGAACGCCGGTGCTACTTACATGAGAGCCATGACGACTATCTTTCATGACATGATCCACAAGGAAATTGAAGTCTACGTGGACGACGTCATAATCAAATCCCGTGAGAATTCGGATCATTTGACACACCTGAGGAAATTCTTTGAACGTTTACGTCGGTATAACTTGAAGCTAAATCCCGCCAAATGTGCTTTTGGAGTCCCATCTGGGAAGTTGTTGGGGTTTATAGTCAGAAGAAGAGGTATTGAGCTCGACCCTTCCAAGATTAAAGCAATTCAAGAGTTACCTCCGCCGAAGACGAGAAAAGAAGTGATGAGTTTCTTGGGGAGGTTAAACTGTATCAGCTGGTTTATAGCACAATCAACAGTGGTATGTGAGCCCATTTTCAGGTTGCTGAAGAAAGACGCCCCAACTAAGTGGACTGAGGAGTGCCAGACCGCTTTCGACGCTATCAAGAGCTACTTGTCTAATCCACCAGTATTGGTTCCTCCACGAGAAGGGAGTCCTTTGCTACTGTATCTATCGGTTTCAGATAGTGCATTTTCATGTGTACTGGGTCAACACGACGAGACAGGGAAGAAGGAAAGGTCTATCTACTACATCAGCAAGAAATTTACTCCGTACGAGTCTCGCTACACTTTGCTGATGAGAACATGCTGTGCTCTGACGTGGCTTTCCCAGAAGCTGAGACACTACTTGTCTTCATACACCACATATCTCATTTCCAGAATGGATCCATTGATGTACATTTTCCAGAAAGCGATGCCGACGGGGAAGTTAGCTAAATGGCAAATGCTGTTAAGTGAGTTTGATATCATGTATGTGACTCAGAAAGCAATAAAGGCACAAGCTTTGGCCGATCATCTTGCGGAAAATCCCGTTGACGAAGAGTATGAACCTCTCAAGACATATTTTCACGATGAAGAAGTGTCATTTGTGGGTGAAGATATCTCTGAAGCTTATCCAGGTTGGAGATTATTCTTTGATGGAGAGGCAAACCACCAGGGTAAAGGTATTGGAGCAGTCTTGGTGTCAGAATCTGGTCAGCACTATCCTATGGCGGCTAAGCTACGATTCAACTGCACAAACAACATGGCTGAGTACGAAGCTTGCATTCTCGATTTGAAAATGGCCGTTGACATGAATGTTTACGAGTTACTGGTTATTGGAGATTCAGACCTCTTGATTCATCAAGTTCAAGGAGAATGGGTTGTGAAGAACCCGAAGATTGTACCTTACGTACAATATGTGCAAAATCTGTGTAAAAGGTTTCGCAAGATCGAGTTCAGACATACTCCCAGAATACAGAATGAATTAGCTGACGCTCTTGCCACCATCGCTTCAATGATCAAACATCCGGATACTGATTACATCGACCCGTTGGATATAGACTTGAAGGAACATCCAGTCCATTGTTCACATGTTGAATCATAACCAGATGGTTTGCCTTGATATTTTGACATAAAGAGATACTTGGAGTCTGGGGCATATCCAGAAGACGCTACATCTAATCAAAAGAAATCGATACGTCGTATGGCTCTCAATTTCTTTCTGAATGGAGAAGTCCTGTATAGGAGGACTCCAGATCTGGATCTTTTAAGATGTGTAGATGTTGCTGAAGCTGTGAGGCTTATTGAACAGATACATGCTGGAGTTTGTGGTACACATATGAATGGGCTTACCTTGGCAAGAAAGGCCCTCCGAGCCGGTTATTTCTGGATGACTATGGAGAACGACTATTGCAAATTCGTGCAAAAATGCCACAAATGTCAAGTGCACGGCGATTTGATACGGGTGCCGCCTCACGAACTTAATGCTATGAGTTCACCTTGGCCATTTGTAGCTTGGGGAATGGATGTCATTGGTCCTATAGAGCCAGCCGCTTCCAATGGGCACAGATTCATTTTGGTTGCCATTGATTATTTCACCAAGTGGGTGGAAGCAGCCTCTTACAAGTCGGTAACCAAGAAAGTGGTAGCCGATTTTGTCCGCAACAATCTGATATGCATATTTGGAGTTCCAGAATCCATCATTACTGATAACGGTGCCAATCTCAACAGTCATCTGATGAAAGAGATATGTGAACAATTCAAGATTATTCACCGGAGGTCCACTGCTTATCGCCCTCAAATGAACGGAGCCGTAGAGGCCGCCAACAAGAATATCAAGAAGATTTTGAGGAAGATGATTGACAAACAGCAAGGTTGGCATGAAATGCTGCCATATGCTCTACTAGGTTATCGAACAATGGTTAGAACATCGACTGGGGCTACTCCATACCTGCTAGTATATGGAACAGAAGCAGTCGTACCTGTTGAAGTCGAGATACCGTCATTGAGGATCATCCAAGAAGCTGAGTTAAGCAACGCGGAGTGGGTTAGCAAACGGATTGACCAACTAGCTTTGATTGATGAGAAGAGAATGGTCGCCATCTGCCATGG